ACCCGCCCGCAGCCGCTCACGGAGCGGAGCCCAGACGGGGCCGTGCGCCCAACAGCGACCCAAGCACCGCGGTGTCGCTGCATCAGCCACCTTCATCGCATTCGTGGAGGGGAACGTAACCTCCTGCTTGCTACCCCTCATCCAGAAGCAGCCATCCCCCAGATCCAGCCCGGCGAGATTTATCCCCAAGTGCCGTACCGCAGGGCTCAAATCTCCTTGGGGCTTCAGGGCACTGGGGCTACGGCACAGAACACGGAAGACCACGCTATCACCCCAGGTCCAACAGCTTCAGAGTGAAAAATTACAAAAGGACAAAAAAAATGCAAAACAAAGGTCTTCAGGCTGGATTCTGCCTGTTTCACCTCTTTTGTATCTCAACAAGGTAGGTTTCAAAGGACAAGTGAGCAAAACCCCACTGTTTGGAGCAGTTCTGATGATAAAATGCTGCTTGATAGCCCACTGGATAAAGCATTAGAAAACAAAACCAGCCCTTCGCAAGTGTCATGCCAAGCTTTCAAATGAGCCTGAAAACACAGGCAGCTAAAGAAAAAAGATCTTTCCTTTAGCATGTAAAAAGGTGTTTACTGCCCAAGGACTACAAAAGCCAAGCCTTGCAAAACCCCACCGAACGCTCCAAAATAAGGCATTTTTATTTCCCTCCCCCATCAGCTGAGGTGAAACTACGTTTTTTTTACACACTCGCTTTTGCCCAGCTGTAGGTGCTTACACAAGCAGGCAGGAAAAAAAATTGTCTTTTCAGGTATTTTCCTACAGGCACCCGCCAAAGGGAAGCAGAAGCGCCTGAAGGCCAAATGCACGTAAGTGCGCGTCCTGGGGGGGTGTGAAGGAGGTTTAAGCTCTGCTGATTCCCAAGGAACGACAGACGCCTGAGGGTTAGGCTATGTCCCACACAGGAATTACGCTCAGCAACATCACAATTTTAGCCAAATTGCCTCAATTTCCTCGAGCAGCATGGTGCAGGCAAGCACTTAGGGACGGCAAAGGCAGGCTGGCAGGGCGAGCTCCTGTGCGGTGCCAGTCTGGGTCCCTGCCGTCACCTCCAGGCTGGACACCGTGCAGGGCCCGATCCTGCACTACGACAGCCAGCAGGAGGAGGACTGCGCTGCCCTGAGAGGGTGCTGAACTAGGCCTTCCATCAGCCTTGGCTAAACCCAGCCGCTGGTGGTGTCGGAGCTGCGCATTGATCTGAACCGCCCCGCTCCTATCCACGCTTCTGAAGACGAAGGCTGCTGTTAGGAACTGCGTTGGACGCTCTCCTCATCCTCAGCTGCTGGGACGATGGTTAAGCACACACTAGACAAGACTGACCCCAGCAGCCCAGCTCCACCATCGGGTCCCATCCGCATCTCCCGAGCAGCTGACCAAGGCGAGTCAGACGTTTCTGCCTGCCACCCAGCCTAGCGCTGACGATTTACACTCTCGCTGTGGTAACGGTCCAAATTAAACCCACGAAGCAACCGATGGGCCCTAAGCTGGGTTACTTTTACTTTCCTTTCTACAGCACTTCTCATCAGTTTTCTACCACAGAACGTATTCTGTTGTAACATCATGATAATTTAGAGAAAAAAGTAATTCACCCAGGCAGTTCTGCTTTATCCCTCCTGAACACGACTCAATGTACTCAGTCATCGTTGGTTTATCTGCTGAAAAAGGGGGGGGAAACCCACACACCACAAATAAAACCCTGCTTTTCCTCTAGGCCACTTTATTTGGTGAAGGCAGCAGAAATAGCGGAGGATGGCGAGGCAGCACGTGCTGATGGACCAAGAGCGGTGGGGGAAGATTACTGTAGGTGCTGGCATGAGGCTTTGAGACTGGACCCGCACTATCCGGGAGATATGCAAACAAGTCAAAAATTGAATAAGAAGAATTTCTGTACTAGTTTTTGCTGTCTAAAAAAAGACTATAATCATCCATCTGTCCAGAAATGTTATTAAGGATTACAGCGGAGGAAAAATTATAGGCAGAGAAGTGCAGCAAGAACTGTATTTGTCAGAATTTCTCTTGGGGCACGTAACCTACATAAGGCTTGAAGAATGGAGAAACACCTCCCCTCCCCTCCCCGAGCTTCAAGGAAACTGCATCCAAGCTCTGCAGTGGAAAGAAAAAGAAAAAAAAAGGACCAAACAGCTTATAAAGCCTTCTCTTTTAGTGGTGATATATTATGACGACTTCTGTTCAGGTAGAAATGAAAGCGATGCAATCGACTGGGTGCAGATTGAAGACTCCCCATCTTGTGCTTTTTGCTATCGTCCAAGTTTTTTTGTACAGGGTTGCCAGTGATTTGTGCCTTTAACTACAGGACGGGAAACTGCCCCTCCAAACAGAGGGGGCTCTTTGAAAACAAGCACAAGAAATTGAGAAAAAGCCCCCAGCAGCTCAGAGGAGGCACATGTCAAAAGCACGCCAGCTCACCTCCTACAGTCACGTCCCCCCTTACCCCACCCGCCCCACCCCGGGCTGCAGGTGGATCCCTGAGAAATGGGGGCACGTGAAGCACCCAAACACAGCCCATGTGTTTGTGCCCGCCTCCCCCAAAAGCTTCCCAATACGTCAAAAGAGTTCAACAAAGCAGAGCAGCAGAGTTGCAGTAACATGAGGGTCCTACGAGCTTCACAGAAACAGGAGTTGAGGAGATGAGGAGGAACCTACGAAGGTCCTTCCCGAAGGAAAAAGCTGCCTTACAAACGTAGCCTTCCTCCTCCTCAGCAGCTCAGCCCAGCCTCAAGCTACAGAACGCTAGGTTTCTTTGGGGCCATGGCTGGTGGAAGTGCTTGTTATGACTACCTACTCATTTCTCCTAGCAGACATCGTCGCTATGTACATCCCACCGCGAGAGCCGCATGCAGTGTTTATCCCAGATCCACGGAAGATGTGCTGCCTATAACCTCAGCGCTCGGCTGTGAGTACATATTAAACATTGTCCTGTACTCTGGCTGAGGGTAGGTTCTCCTCTAACACTGGTTGCTGGGGGGTTTGCAACACGGTGCACACATACATGGAAAACAACAAGCATGTTTATTGACTTAGAAATTAGTAAGCGCGAGTTTTTGGCAGTAAAGGTGATGCCAAGACAGATACCTGGAGGTAAGAAAGCCAACTGTAAGACCGAGGGGCTGGTAGCAACTCTTGTCCCTACCTGGTTCAGTGCAGTTTCTGACGTACGGCTGCCCCCCGTCCTCCGGGATGTCAGTCGCGTTCTCCTCGCTTGCTTGCAGTAGCTGTCTCCCACTCCATTTGTCATTACTGTCCACAGAATAGCTCAGGGCATCATAACCTAAAGGAAAAGAGCAGTAGATACATGAGACTGCATGGGAAAGGCAACTCCTGATCCCGCTCCTGAACGCTTGGAGCAGCCAAAACGTTTGCATTTCAAACTTAGTGTCCCCTGGGTTAGGAACAGTGGCGTTTCCAACCCGCCGGAAAGGTGCACTGCCATTAGCTCCACACCCCCGGTAGCCCCAAACCGATCAGGAGCCAGGCTCATGCCTCCACAGCTCCAAAGGTTCAGACTAGAAGAGCATCTATGGTTTTGTAAGAAGCTGTAAGCTTCAAGCAGTTTAAAATGAGAGTGCCATCCCCTGTTGTGGTTTAAAAACAAAACAAAAGAACAAGCAAGCAAAAAAACCCTCCACAAAACACGACACACAACGAAAAACCCAAACCCTCAACTTGTTACTTCTGTAGGTGTTTCACTGCTGTTAATCACCAGCAAAACTCCCCTGAATTCTGCACATGCTTACACAACACGTAAGCCACCCCTGCTTAGGATTCCAATCCAATTTGCTGCTGAATGAGGCCTCGAAAACACAGCGTTTGACGCAGAAGTTAGGTAGGCTTCTTTGCAAACTAATAAGGCACCACACAGGTTAGGAAAGCTCTGCCCCAACGGAGCGGGAGGTTCCTCGGGACGGCAAGGGCATTGCTCGGCAGCCGGTGCCGGGTCAGGGCCAGCGGCAGGGAGGCTGCCCCAGACGGGGCACTGAGGCACGGGAGCCATCCCCGCTGCCAAATTACATTTTGTAGTACAAGTCTGCACAGCTATTCTCACCAAGTGGTCAGTAGGGATCCACTTCAGTATCTTGTGCCCAAGTCTAATGACATCAGTGGAAAGGGTCCCAACCATGTTTGCTGCAGGCAAAGCAGCAGCAGCTCTTCCACACGTTAGGAAGCGTTCATCGATGAACGTGAAATCTACAGCTCCTCTCGGGTTCTGCTCACGGAGCACAAAGCACCGATGGAAATGCCTTTACGAGAATAGAGCCACGTTCATTCTCAACATGGTCCTTGTTAAGCCCAACTGCGCTGTTATCCCCACCCAACACAACCTCACCGAAGCTGCGGTGTGCCTCCGAGTCACTCCAGTAGCCCTCCCCACCTCCAACCATTAACAAGCGCCTATAAACCTCAGGGGCACATGCTTCGTGTACAACTGAAAAAAGGGATAAACGCCAGTGCAGCCACTCCAGAGCCGGGGGTCTGAGCGTGCTCCCTGCCGTGCCCTGTCCTACGGGGAAGCGTGGGCACATCTACTGCTCCTTCTTCCAACACCAGCCCCATTGCTTTTGCTCACCAGTTCCTTGGCCAGCAAGACCCAGACCCGGCTGCAGAACAGATGCACGCTCTCAGCGTTTCAGCGCTACACGGCTGCTGTTGAGAATACCAAGAAACCCCCCAAACTCTATTCCTAGGCCATCAACCTAGGAAAAGAGAATCACCACCCAGAGGCAAGAAAGCCGCAAAGGAGGCTGCAGTGGCACATCTTTGACTTCCACAACAGATGAAGGTCGTCGGCAGCAGGGCTTTGCCCTGGGAAGCCACAAGGAACTGAAAAACGAACACTGAGAAGCGAGTACAGGCAGCGATAGCTGGGCAAGAAACACACCAAAAAGTTGACTCACTGGGTACTGAAAATCCAGTTTGCCTTTAATAAACACGAGGACACATCATGCCACCCCCGGCGCCCATCAGCACCACGGCACATCAGGCTGCCAGTGTCCTACACTCAGGGACTGGTTCCAGCCACATGCTTGCAGGGCACGGGGCGGTTTTGGGTGCGAGCATGCAGCAGGTAACCCTACACAGGACAGCGCATTACTTCATCACTTCTGGCTCTCCCCGTGCTTCACTCCCCCCTTCAGCTTTGCTGCGGTGCTGGCCAGCGAAACTCTGTTCCAGCACTGTCAACACAGACAGCCGGCCCATTTCCATGGTATTCCTGGTACAATGCTGGTCAGCCTTGGACACACCACGTCTGCCTCATGAGCTGACAGCAAGTGCTCGTGGGTCAGTCCCACGCATCCTATGCAGTTTTAGATTCAAGGGAGGAACAACTACTGTTTTTTTATTTTTAATCCTCCAGGGCATCCACTTCAGGCAGGCACAGGGGCCCAGTCGGCCACCTTGCAACAGAGACCTTGAGGCCATCCAGTAACAAACAACATCGGAGAGAGAGTTCCACCCACCCACCTTCTTTCCACCAAGGAGAACACGGGCTCTCTCACAAGGACTTTCTACTCAAGTTCCTCCTCAAGTGCTATCACCCATGCCAGCCATGGCCTTTCTGCCACGTGGGCTCTGGCTCCAGCAGGACCCGGCCGTCCTGCCCGCCGGGAAGGACACAGAGCCGTCTGGCAAACTCCTGGGGCGCTTGGAGGCCACCGGGGTAAGACAGGCTTTACTCCACGTGGGAGTTCACAGCACCAAGGTCCGTGCAGAGGCTGGAGTCAGCGCCCAGCGCTTGCCACTTCAAAGCCACCTTCAAACGTGAGCTGCTTCCCATTTTGTCCAGCACTTTGGAGAGAGATCCCAAGCAAAGAGCAGCGGAACAGAGATTCAGACCTTGGGGCAATGTCTCAGAGGGTGCTTGAGGGTGAAGCTGAAGGTTCCCTGCAGGTCCCAACCCCTTCGTTAGGTGTTCTGCTCATCCCACTGAGAGAGGGGGCCACCCTGAGCCTTCCCTGCCCTGCCCAGCCAGCCTGCTCGGGGCAGCTCCCAGCGGGGAGGCAAAGCTTGGGAAGGAGCTGCTTGGGAATCTGCATCCCAGGCCAGCGGCAGCGACTGGGACCGACGCTCCCAAGACACCCAGGAGTCCACCTGCGTGCACATTTAGGGGAAGAACCACGGCGGCACAGGCAGCCTTAAGCATCTCTATTTTCTAAGCAAAAAGCGTTTAACGCAGTAAACTAAATATCATCATTTGAAGCTTCGAGCACTTTGTACTTGCAATGGTTTACAAACTTGAGCGGAGCAGTTTCAGTTCCACGTGCAAGCTGGTTTCCAAGCAGAGAGGCTCTTCTCCAAGCAGGCAATGCGTCGCCGCATGCCGCTGCGTGGAGGGAGAACCTGCAAAGACTGCAACGGCCCAGGCGTTCCTGCCAAAACCTCTCCTGCTCCCTCCCCACCCACAACGCCTTTCTCTCTTGGATTGCAAACTTGTCCAAGCGAGGGGTAGGGAAGAAGAAAGTCATTTGAGGTGACTTTGGAAGGGGAAAAGCTTAATTTGGCAATAAAAGTGTTTATAAAGGCTACATTCAGCATTCACAAAAATCGGCGTAAATAGCAGCAAAACTGGTCCAGAGCTGAACTTGATGGGATGGCTGGGACTTACAGCAGTAAAAGCTCTCCTCTGGTACCACCAGGTTTAAGCAGGGTCAACGGTCCCACGGCAGGACTCTCAACTTGCTGACCCCAAAATCCTGCTTGGGCATCTCCACTCTCAAACACATTTGGCTCAACAGAGCAATAGAAAATAGAAGTCATGGGTGAAAGGAGCTTCTTTCTTCATAGGTTTGGCTTCCCAAGGCCTTCCCTGTGAAAACGGGGACACATCAAGATCTTAACCTTGCTAACAAGGACATTTCATGACAATTAAATGGGGTCCATGTCTGCCTGTTTGCCGGCACCAGGCTCCCTGCGGCATGGCCGGAGGCAGCTCAACGCTCGTCCTACAGGCACAGGCTGCGCTCCTAGCGAGGCTTGCAGAAAACAACTCAGAAACATGGGTTCGTGCTTTGGCAGATCCGGTGAAAGAGGAACTGATGTCAGCTGCGGCTCAACCCTTCGCACGTGGCCACCTATGAAACAGGGACCTCACTCATCCCGCTGGATGCGGGCAGGCACCACCGTTTTGGCCTGGCAGCATCTCTCCCGGCTTTAGGTGCTGGCACGGGGCAGAACCACCACCACCAGAAGCACCCAGCAGCGGGGACACGGCCTCAGCTGTAGCACCCCACCCCGGCAGGGCTGCCCGAACAGCGTGCCGCCACCACCACCACCCTCTCTGGCTTCCACCACCCCTTCCCACCGGCACTGCCAAGGTCTCACCTTGGGCTGCAGCAAGAGCACCAGCGCCCTTCCCGCTTGCGGGAAAAGCACGGCTATATTCCGATCCACAAATATTACACAATCACATCCCCGGGGCAGTTTCAGAAAGGCAGATGCAACCATCACAAGTTCTCTTTGAGAGCAAATCTTCCGCAACGTGCTTTTGGCTCCTCACTTCAGGCTGTACCTTGCAATCCTTCACTCGCCTGTTCCAAGGCAAAACTTGTGCTGACTTGAAAATTCCCATCAGCTGCCAAAGGCCGCGGGGCCCGAGCCCTTCTGTCGCTAAGCAAGGGCCCCAGCCTTTGATTTCAATAGGCACCAAAGCACAGCCCGCAAAACACGGAACCAGAATCTGACACTCTGCAGAGGGGCGAGAACGGCAACGAGTAACCAAAACTCCTCTTTCCAAGGAAAAGTAGGAAAGGTTCTAAAGAAGCAAGCAAACAGTGTTCCTTCTGAGAGCGCAGTTATTCAGAACTGGACGGTTTCTAATGGGAAACACCTCACAGCCGTTCTTTACATTTTCTCAGCAGAGGCAAAGCCCACTAAACATCCTGCGGCAGCCACACCGTCGCGTTGCTCAGGCCAGTACGCAGATGAGATGCTTTCCTCATTAATGTTTTAGCTGCTGGCTTGATGACAAGAGTAATACTGTGACATCTTTAATAACTTTGCTACAATAAAGAGTTTTTCTAAAGGTCTGTATCACAGCGTATTTTGAAGGGGGTAAGTTATTTTTTTTAAGCACCGAGCGTCACCACAAGGTGCCTTCCACAACTCCCATTACCCAGTACCAGTTCTGCATCACTCCTTCAGAGCCCAGGTTCTGGAGAGCTTTATTTGTGCTTCCTCGCAGAGATAATCCCACAGACAGCAAGCATGAGAGCCGCTTCTCCCTGCCTTTGTGCCCGCGCTGCATTTCGTAATCGCAGCAAGAGAA